CTAACACCCCGGGGTGCCTAGATACCTCTTCTAAGTTTTGCAACAGTTCCGGTCATGTGACTTCTTTGTTCAATACTGTATATATATATATACTCGTGTCAGTGTAAATTACTTGTACCTGATGATGATGACAAAACCTTGTCGAAACGTTGTACATTTGCTGTTATGTTAAACTTATATTAAAGTTTTTCTTCATTACCAATTCAAGCCGTCTCCAACCATTATTTGACTTAATTTCAAATGAACTTTTGACTGGATTGTCATAGTGTTTTTTCATGATATTAACTTCCGTTTCTAAACATTCAGTGAAGCATAACTCAACTGTCAGAGATGATACAGTTTACTTTTAATCTGATATCTATGTTATAAGTTTATATTTCTTTTACCTCCTTTTCAAATCTTTGGAGGCTGTTAGATGTTTCCCTTTAATTATTGTGAAGAAAAAGATATTACAGGTAAGTCTTAATGTTCTTCCTAATCACCTCACAACGGGATGTTTAGGGCCAGTTGATAAGTAAAAATAACTTATGAACCTTCTGGTGTTACAATAAAATACAGTTGAACTACAAAAGTATCTGTCCCTAATCGCCTCTTCTGCGGTACTTGTACTGTGTTCTTACAGTGTATTGTTGTTTGCGAATAAGATTACTACACTCACAGAAAATACCAGCAGCGCTGAGAGCCAATTGACATGCAAATCTCATATATGATGGAAACTATGTATTCAGTTGTTATTATTGTGTTACAAAACCAACAAGTGCGCAACACCCCTGTACTTCAAGTCAGGGGATGCTGCCTCACACCCCAGTACTCCCAGCTGCTGCGTCCCGAGATTAGGTTGAAAAATCTAATTTGCTAGGTTGACATATTGGTTGGCTAAATTATAATCAAGTGTATCTAGTGTTCCTTTATGTAAAAGTTGTGATGTTCTGTCTAATAATGAGCTTTTAAAGATCATAACATTTACTAAAGGAACACTAGAGATACTTGATGTAAATGTTATGATGTTCTGTCTAATAATGAGCTTTTAAAGATCATAACATCAACCAAAGGAACACTAGAGACACTTGATGTAAATGTTATGATGTTCTGTCTAATAATGAGCTTTCATGAAGAGCTGCTCGTTTTACTCTATCAGTTCTTACTGAATAAACAAGCAGTTGTCCACACCATATTTCAGTAAGCTAGATGAGTTTGTATGCTGACAGGTTAAGTTAGCAATTTTCTAATGGTGTTAAGCCTTAATACTATGTCGTAACATATGGGTTTAGAATAAATGAGGTGAATTATATATTTTCTGACTAAATCGTGTCTGTAACTTATTCATACAGTGATGCAAAGACATCTTTAACACAATTTTAGACCTGTAATGAAGCTACAGGAAAAAACCCTGAGAATTCGATAATTTTACAATTGTTAAAAAAAATCATTTTCAAAGATGACGTAAACAATTTTCTATCTTATATTAAAAAACCGCCTTAAAATCCTAATATGTTGATTATAAATTATTGAAATGTTGTGCAAATGCTGTGAAAATAGGTATTTTCAGGAATGAATCGAACTTATCCTAATAAAACGATTTACAGTCTTCTGATCATCCGAACGGTAATACAATCTATCAGTATCAGTAGGTAACAATTTGCAATACAAATTATTCTATCATAGCTTGTTTCATTATGATTTTCAGAATGGTTAATGTAGCATTACAGGCTAATATTTTAGATAATATTGAAGAGATTAGACGAATTATAAAATATTATACTGTTAGTAAAAAAAAAATATACGCATTACTACTTCAGCATTTAGTAATTAATTGTGTAATAACGAAAGTATGACATTACTGTGAAATAAACGGTTATGAAATTGTATTTGGTATTTTGGCGAATTCGTAGTCCTTTAATTTCATACATAAGTTTGTCATATAATACGAACTTTTTTGTCTAAAAGATGTACTTTTTGTCACTAGATGGCGACACATCTCCTGGAAACCGTTCACAGTGTCTTGGAATAAGATGTCCATTAGGGAAATGTGTGGAAGAAGTAAATGTCTGTGACCACAACATGGACTGTTCAGACGGATCAGATGAAATAAATTGTTCATAAAACATTATTGTTTTACCATTACCCGTGTTAGCATTCAATCAATTACAAATGGAAGATTGAGTGAACTACTGGTGATCAAAATTGGCAATGGTTTGCTATGAAAATGTTGGCTAAGCGCATACCCGTTATCGCATGGCTTTCAGTATTTAAAAGTTGTTTACATTTGTGTACATATACTTGCTAAGATCAGAGAGTGAGATTTCCCGCGAATCCAAGGCCAAGAAGTGCAATGAAAATATGTACAGTTCTTAAAGTGCTTTTCTTCCCTTGGTGGAGGTGGCAATTGGAAATGTGGAGGTACTGTCGGTGTTACAGTCTGCCAGATAACGTTTATCATCCGGGTTTTTTTTATGGTTTATGGTTTCTAATTGAACACATGAGGTATATCATATATTGAGCACCATATATCTATACATATAAGCAGTTAACCATATTCAAAACTAATTTTTTTTCCAGGCGTTTGACTAGGTTTAAATAGCAACATCCAACGTTTATCATGTTTGTCTTATTGGTCACGTCGATACAAGTCAATAACTTAACCTATATTTTGTCTTTGTAAGAGTGGCATCTAATACTTTATTTATTAACATCCGATAATTTAATTTTTTCTCTACCTAATTTATCTTCATCGTCAAATAACGTTTGTTGTTACGGAATATGTAGCATATGCCACAATTATGTATTTGGAAATTGAGAAACCTATTTCCAAAGTGAAACAGGATGACAGAAATAGTAGAAGAAACTATTTATTTGCGTTAAATTACTATAAGAATAATTGCACTGCTGCACTTTTTAAAACATTATACTGTCCGCTGTTAATATAAGCAGTTGTGGCTCAATGTCATTTTGTACGTTTGAATAATAACTTTCTACCAGATCTCCGAATAACAAGGATTACTACATTTTAGTTTCAAAGTTTGACTTTCTTAGTTCTGTTAGTGAAAGTGATGGATGACTGTTAACATTTTATAACGTCAAAATAAAAAGAATTATTTTGGTCGAAGAGTTACACCTACCCTTTTATACATAATATAGTTTACTAAATAATAAACAGTACAGAGTGGTCCAAAAAGATTACTTCT